ATTACCGTCGATTCGTACAATATTTTGCGGCCATTTCAAAACCCACACACTCACAGTTAAGGTGCAGAAGTTCAAATGGAGTACAGAAGAGGGTGGCCTTTAAAAATCTGCAGACGCTCTTCACAGAGGCACCACCATTGGCATACCAAGATTATGAATTGCCCTTCACGCTGGATACAGATGCAAGCAATGTGGAGATTGGGGCTATTTTTACTCAGGTGCAGTCGGGAAGAGGAGGTGGTAATAGCATATGGCAGCCAGGTATTGCCATCGGCCGAACAATGCTACAGCGTAACCAGGTGAGAACTCCTTGCCATTGTGCATTTAGTGCGGCAATTTCAGCCAAACCTATGTAGTGAGTCCAACTGAGTCACAGGCGTTGTTCCTTTTAGAGGCAACACATTTATTGTAACACCGTAACACAAAGGGGTAACGGCCCGATACAGGCTAGGGTGGTGACCACCCAGCTAACTATGCTATACAGAGGGGTTACTGCCACGAAGGGTTGGACCCTCACTCGGGTCTCTGACCACGTAGTTGCCTCGTAAGACGAAGAGCTTCCAGCTTGAGACGTAGAGCTTTCAGCTTGTAGAATGCAGGTACCCCGGTCCCACTCAGGGCCGCTCCACCCTCGTCCCAGCCCGCCTTCTCGAGCATTCTCGTTCCCTCTCGATCCTTCTCCAGAGCTTTCCCTAGACACGTGATCACCCACTAGCCCCCCCCCCCCTCTCCCCATCTGGGGCCCCATGTGTGGACACTCCGGATCACGTGTTTATGGGGTCAACCAGAGTGCCATGGCCCGGGGCAACCTGTCCCTAGCCTGACACTCACCCACTCCCCCTCGTGGGAGCCCCCACCACGCACTGTACATGGTGCCCGCACTATCCCAGTGCTCACCAAGCCGCGCTAGGGCTGGTATTACACACAGCCACCCACACGGTGCTGTCCACGATGTAAGAACATCGAACGGCACTCCCCTTCTGGGCCGGCACCATACAGTGATATTCCTGATGTCACTACACCTATACGGACAGAAATTAGAGGTTTGGACTGACCCCGCAGCACTGCAATACTCGTTGCTTATCGACCAACCCTCTGGTAAAATGGCCAGATCGATTGAAAGGCTGCAAGCATTTTCCTATGAGGTGGTCCATAGGAAGGGGTTGCACCACACTAATGCAGATGCTTTATCGTGTCTACCAGAGGCAGGTACTTGTGCATGTGGTAAGGGGTCACCCAGGTGTAAATCACTCACCTGACACGGAGTGCCTTGTAACACCTGTGCACATATGGGAAGACAAGCCGGAGCCTCCCCTAGCCGATCAGGATTTGGGACTGAGTCAAGAAGGAGTGGCAGCGATCGCAATCTGAGGAAGAGATGCTTGATCCCATTTGTGCCATCGCTAAATATAGCCCATAACAAGACCGGCCTCCAACAGCTTTGACATTGGTAGATTACAAAGGGCTGTTGATGCTTTGGGAGATAAACACACGGTCCTACTGTGTCATCGTGCCAACCTCCATTCACAAAAATTTAGTTGCGGAGCTGCATGGCCGCCACCTCCTGCATTTGTGGGAGCTGAAAACACTCTACCATTAAAACTCATTATTTTTGGCCGAGTATGATGGCAGATATCCGCATATGGACAGCCTCATGTGTAGAATGTGCGCTGCGATAGCTGCCAGCACACCCGATGAAATTGCCCCTACAATCAATCGAGGTTTCACGGGTTAATGAATTGGTGGCCTTGGATATATTGGGACCCCTACCTCGCACGACAAAGGTCACAGATTTCTGCTAGTAGTGGTAGAGCATTTCACGCAATGGTCGGTGGCGTGGCCCCTAGCGGATCAAACCGCTCAGTCAATAGCGAAAGCTTTTGTACATGGATATGTTATGGATAAATGGGCCCCTGATAGACTTTTAACAGACCAGGGTAAAAAAGAATCTTCAAAACTTATACAGTAAGTGTGCGACATCCTAGGCACTAAGAAAGAACACACTTCTCCACACCACCCACAAACCGATGGAATGGTATAATGCCTAAATCGCACCATCACATCCATGCTGTCAGGTGGTCAATGACACTCAGACAGACTGGGACTTACACATAGGCGGGGTCCTGGCGAGATATCGGTTGGCCCCGCATGCATCGACGGAATATTCTCTGTTCTATTTGATGTATGGTAGGGTGCCGGACCCTCCCATGGAGTGCCAGATTTTTTACCTCCCAGCTGGGGCTCCGAAATGGCCTATTGCAGTACGATGAGTCATGCAGCATTGGAAGACGTCGAGGGAAGCGGCACAAACTGCAGCGGCTTCCGCCCGTTCCGCGAATGAATGGGTTAGGCTAAAGGGAGTGACGCCCCTGCCTTTCATAGTGGGAGATAGTGGGTGGCTACACTGTCCACAGGTCCCCTTAGGGACCACACCCAAAATTAACTGCCCGTGGCAGGGCCCTGTGAAAGTGGTAGAGATTCTTAGACTTCAATGTGTACGTGTCCAATTGGGACATTAGTGATGGTATATATATTTCGCCCATCTAAAACCTGTCCAGTCTAAGCCTATGATGGATGCGCCACTAGACACGGAGGAGCACCCAATACACGCACCAAAAACCAGGTTACCGCGAACAACTACACCTTCACCCCTTCATTCACCATCATCACTGCTGAGGTCGGGGAAGTCACTTGCCGCAGCGAACCAACCTCAAGAAGGTTGCCTTCTTTCCCCAGGACCGTCCGTGACCAAGGAGGTGTGGCAGCATCCAACTGAGCCACGGCTACACGGCCCCGTTACTCGGGCATGGGCTTGGTTGATGCTCCCACATTGATGAACAACCACCGCATGCAAGACCACAGAACCACTGAGGAAAAGGATATTGTCATTCCTTCGCACTGGAGGTTGTCGTCGGTTGTTCGCTTGTTACGGTTGGAAGGTCCGGTTGAACCTTGTGTGTACCATCTTGTCTTATGGTTACTCATTTATTACTATCTTAAATTATGTCCTGTATACATACACCCCACACCTACACACACAAAATTACAGGCCTCTGGTTGAGTTTGTAATTGCTTGTTTATTGACCGAAAAAAGTAACATTTTATTCCCCCCCTCTTCATCTCTCCCTACTCCCCTACCATTGGAATTACCCTGAATCCCTTGGATTTGCACGAGTTGTGTTGAGTTGCGGACGACTTTTTCTTTGGGGGGGTGGGGGGGGGTGATGTAGTGCTAATACTTACGTGATCCATCATGAGGGAAAGGAAAAATAAGGTGGGGCGAGAGACAGAACGCCCAGTGAGAGAGTGTTGACGTCACCGGATGAGGTGGGGTCATCGGGGTACTTATTAGAGAGATTCGGAGTGGAGTGGATGCGTGCGACGTAAATTCGTGCGGAAAATAAAGAAGGGTGTGTCATCTCAATCTTCGTCTGGTAGACTCATTAGACATGGATTGGCCCATAGGCGGAGTTTGACTTCTATATTTGGAGGGGGGCAGGGGTTCGCTTTGTCCCTCACATTTAGAATTGTGGCTGCATATAACACATTTATTTTTTATTGTAATCTACTGAAAATAAATCTTGACTTAAAGCTTTCGTGACTGCAGGAATTCATATTCTTTGGGTCTTTCGGTAAAGGCTCGTAGATAGGTTCAAATTAATACAAATTAAATAAAAAAAAACTACAACGTTTCGTACACAACACAAGCAATCGTCATCAGGAGAAAAACAGAGGAAAGCTGCTAAGAGCAGACTGTTTAAAATGTTTAAAATGGGTGTTATTCTAGATTTGAAGCTTTTGTGACTGCAAGGATTCATATTCTTAGGTTTTTTCAGTAAAGTCACGTAGGTAAAAAATTAAAATTAGTACTTGATACAGCAGTCGTGCTGTGATGGTTCCACCTGAAGACGGAAGCTTGTGTTGCCTCCGAAACGTCGTGATTTTTATTTTTTATTTTACTTTTGTTAATTTAAATTTTTTACCTACGTGACTTTACCGAAAACAACCTAAGAATATACAATGGATGTAGCTTAAGGGTCTTTTATCCCGACTATAATTAAAAATAAAGATGTATGTGGATACTATTGATGGTGGCAATTTCCTTCATCCAACAACCCAAGGGTCTACACCCATTTTAAACCTTTAAAAGTCTGCTCTTAGCAACTTTCCCCGTTTTCCTCCTGACGATCGCTGGTGTTGTGATCGAAACGTCGTAGTTTTTTGTTTATTTTATATTTATTAATTTGAACCGATCTACGTGACTTTACCGAAAGACCCAAAGAATACTGAAAATACATTAATGAAGATGCCCCCCCCCTCCACAAACTCCACCCATGGATTGACCCAGTGGCGGCTCCTGCAAAATCTCTCAGGGGGGGCAAATGTCTGGATGATTGATAAGGATAAGGTCCACCCATGCAATGGATAAATTAACAGCTTAAGCATGTAAAGGCAACTTCACTTCTTTAATATTAATGAAAAATAAAGTGACTCTTACAATACATCTTGTTTGTTTCTATACTCACTATTAATACAATCCACTCAAGTTTCTTTTATTAAAGATTCCACTAGGTGGCGACAAATTATATTGTTGGATGAAACGTGCTTACATATGATGACGTAAGCACATTAGGGCGAGCCCTCCCGGAAGCCATAGAGAATGCATTGCAGCGCCCCCCGGTCGAAAAAAAACATCTTTGAATGTAAGTCTATGGGGCCACTCGGGGCGATTCTCAGCCGGAGTGAAATCGCCCAAAAAGAGGCGGTACTCCATAGAACGTGACATGACGCTGATTGGACTATATCCAGAGTCACAGTGACTGCTAGCGTGACTCTGTGGTTGAATGACATTGGTGGTGCGTCGCCCAATTGCCCTAATGAAGAAACCGCCCCTGGATTGGCCCATACAACAAGCAGGCACTGACTAGTCAAATAAAATGAGACGATAGCAGAAAAAAACACCTTTATTTTCTACAATACAGTATGATCTCGTAAGACTATTTGCAATCTCATCATCAAGCAAATGGTACAAATACTGTATCGGCACCCGCAAGCCATTAATCAAAAATACCACTAATTAAATACCATTTAATATGCATGAATGCTTTATGATATTACAGGTGTTTGCATCATAAAAAATATGCTTAATACACAGGATGTATGACATGAATGCTTTAGAACTACACTAGTCACCCTAAACATGTCATGCTATGCTACCACTCGACCAGATTTTACTGTGGGTGACTATCTAAACTTTTATCCCGACGAGAATTAAAAATGAATATTTCTATGGATACTATTGATCGTGGCAGTTTCCTTCATCCAGCAGTGTATTGAGCATTGTTGATGGCGACTTTGTCATTTATTTGTCCTAGCAAAGTCTGTTAAAATGTATTTAAAAAATGTTTTTGCATGTGGGAAAAAAATGTGCTCAGAGAAAATCCACACATAGAAGGGGGTAATTTAGAAATGTCCCACTTGATGGTTCACAAAGCCATTGGCTGTAATGCCGTCTCCTTAGAATTTTCAGTTATCTATTCACTCACCCAATCCTTGCCTCCTAAAGCCCTGGATTACAGTTATTACACAAAATGACCAGTTCAATAAAAAAAGACGTTCTGAATTTATTCAAAGGTAGCAGTGAAATTAACCACACTTAGTGCGCTCCAGAAGCGTTCATTTAAATTGTAATGTTTTTCTATGTACCAGGACGAAAGCAAATTGGGGTTAACTTGGCCAAGTGTAACATCATACAATTATAACACGATTATCACCTTCTTGTAGCACTCACGTTGAGGAACAGCAGCGTACTGCAAGTGGGTTGCTAATTAGGGAAGTTCGATTGACTTTAATTGCACGCTGTTTTAGTGTTCTAAACACGTTATTCGTGGGAGTTTCTCAGGACTTTGTTTTTCCTCAAACGCAACAAATGCTCTCATTTTACAAAACATCCCAATTAGGATCCTTCCTTTTGGGATTCAGAATGTTGCGTAAAGTAATGCAGATATGACTAGATTCTTATCAAACTATACTAATGCAATTGAAGCCATTGTAGCTTTAAGAGTCTCCTTTCAAATATTGGCCTCTCACTTGAGATAATTCCGTGCAAATTAAGAGCGCAGCTTAGAGGTTGTGTGGTCTAGTGGTTCTGGAAAATAGATGTAGCTATGGATACTGAGGAAGTCCTGTAATATCACTCATATTTCATTGCACAAAATTTGTAATTTATTGTGATTAATATTAGCAAAACCCTAAACTAGTCCCAGAATGAAACGTAAAAAGACCCCGTCTTCAGCAATTCATGCCGTTGTTAATTTAAGTAAAATGTTGGATTCCTGGATTTATCACACATCTCGACGTGGATATGGGAGGTGACTCCAGGGTAAACTTTCTGCACGTTCAGCAGATACCCAATTGCCTGATCACTGTCAACTGCGCCTGTATAGTGGTACGCGTGGACATGGAAAATCTTAATGCAGAAGACTGCACACACACAATCAAAGAGACAAACACCGAACATGTTAGTATTGGAATTAAAATGTCATTGTAAAATACATTGTTCTCACTTCAAACTCAATGTCAGACAATAATGCACTATGTATTATCGTGGATGAACCCACACATTTCCACACAATAGATGTTTTTTTATATGTTTCAATCTGCAAAGCTATTACTTATCTATGTTTTTGTTCAGTTACAACTTGACAAGCATTTATTGGTTGGTCCATATTGATTAAATGTCTTGTTTTTGATATTAATAATTCTTCCACCACTGCTGGTCCATAAATCCCGCATGGATTATACTTCACAGACCCAGAAACATCTTTCTAGGCCCGTAATGATTGTCAGGTTGTGGGGCTATATTCTCTCTGTTTATTCACCCAAACTCATGTGTTTGTTCATAGCACTGCATATATATGCGTATAGGAGAATCACATTTTTATGATTTTTACTGAATGCATTAAAGAGGTGTATTAGTTTTCGATTTAAAGCTTTCGTGACTGCAGGGATTCATCTTCTTGGTTCTTTCGGTAAAGTCACGTACTTCCCTTCTACGTGACTTTACCGAAAGAACCAAGAAGAGGTGTATTAGTCTTCACATTCATCATAAGAAGCTTAGCCTATGAACTGCAAGAACAAGTAGTATAAACATATACAATAAGTGAATAGCGTTGTGCAAAATGGGATTAATTATAACAAGTGTGTAACATTACCAGAGTTGGAAAGGATCACTCCATCATTGACGGCATTGTTTTTCTTGTAGGCCCTGGCCCAACCCTTCAGTTCTCCTTTGAATGGTGCATTCACTTTCGATCCATCCGGGCAAATTATATCCACTCCCATGTGCATGCCATGTGGACTGTATTAAATTAAAAAGAGGAGGTTATTTTCACTTTAAAATACATATACTGTACGGCACACATGTTGTTCATATCGGAGTTGTTCATGTAAAAATGAGTGTGCATCTCAATAAAATAAAATATGCCCAGTGTCTCAATATTGTTATGATGCTCATCTCTAAGGAGGCCCTGAATCCCTGATGTCAATGGGGTGGAGGTCAGTGTCTCCAAGGAACAACCACTCTCGACTTCCTACAAGGTCGTGGTTATTTTATTAACCCTGCAGGGTTTATGGGCTTAGTCAACCCTCAATAAGGACGTATGTCAAGTGCTATGGTAACAATGTCGGATAAGCAAATAATATCTTAATTAGTTCCATCACATAACCACAAGGGTTTAAATCTGGCCTTCCATCGCTTGGTTCAGTGATTGGATCCAAACTCACGTGGATTTCTTTATTGTTATCAATTACAAAGCCATTTTGTGAAAATAACGGCAGTGGGTGTTTCCTCAACTGTTGTTCACTGATTTATGAATGAAACCTGTTTGCTTCATCTTCATAAAGGTGAGACATTTACCTATGCGATGGTAAATGACCTTTGGCTAAGTGTGTGCTGCAATGTAAAATGTCCCGTAAAATTAATACAATAAAACCTCATGAAGCCTAAATTCGGGGTAAGCCAGAAAAGACACTAAAATAAATAAATATTGAACGCCTCAAAAACTCCCGATGCTTTTTCAGCTGCACGGTAGGATTTCAGTGTTAAGCAAAATATGCACATCTTGCGTGGGTAATTCGAGATGGACTTCTGAAGTGTAAGACGTTATTGTACTATGGTATATACAATTGATGTAAGAGTAATATCATTTTTTATATTACTGGAAGAACTTTACTCAGAGCCATGAAATTCAATATAAGCGATGTGCCTCGCTCCACTCAGCGCCAAATGCAATTGTCTGACAGAAAAATAAATCCGATTCTATCATCAGATCAATTGAACTTAATGTCCTGTCTACTTGCACATTGCACAAGGATGGTTTGATTGTATTCTCAAAGATAGAACGTGTATCGTCTGAAGATAACTTACTATAAAATGTATAAGGAAACTAATAAACTGCTATATTAGCTCAAAACTGTCTCTGAAAAGTATTACGAACAGTTTCGTAATCACAAATGACATATGAAGTTATAACTACTGTATAACAAGAGTGTTTGGACTTACTTGGAAGACTGAATACCGTTTTCAATTACAGACATTGACAGCCACTCTTTCAATTGCACAGAACGAACACAATATGGTAAATTTGTAAAAGGTGGGGCTGGACCAGGGGTCGGGAACCTTTTTGACTGGGAGAGCCATAAAAGCCAAATATTTCTAAATATATTTCATTGAGAGCCATATAGTATTTTTAACGTATAATAAATTAAATGTCTTACTTTAAATGCGACTTCTGGTCACGGGATCCGTGACCCGAGAAATTTTATCTTCAAAACTAATTTCTGTTTACTTTAAAATGACACAGTATTATTAAGCAATATCACAAGTATTTTAAAATCAGTTCCAAACTGATTTTATTTTTATTTTATTATTATTTTTTTCAACTCAATATTGTCTGGGAGCCATATGCCGTCACCAGAAGAGCCATATATGGCTCGCGAGCCATAGGTTCCCGACCGCTGGGCTGGACCATTGTAATCGCCAGAAGTAATGGGTGTGCCTCACGTAGCCTCTGAGCGAGTGAAGACTCTTACCGATGTGCCTTGTAGTGACCGCACCCATATTTACCCTCGCATCCTCTCACGACGTTCACCACTTGGCCGTGACAGAAGGGTTTCCATTTTGCTGTACGGCATTATAGAACACAAAGTACATAATTATGTATATCGATGTGCACATTCAGAACACATTCTACACTTTTTGCATGTTGGCTGCATTAGTTGCTATACATTTTTGACATTGTTATAATAAGGTCATAAGTGTCTCCGTATTCAACATGAGCACTCGGTAGTGCTTGCCTATAGAATGGCAGTCCTAAACCAGTATTGGAAATTCTACATTTCTAATGAAAGGACAAACTAAATAAAAATCACGATTCGCTTCCGAGAAAGTGTTACGTCAACTTTGACATCAAAAAGAGTACGAACTTGATACACAGCGTTTGCATGTTGCCAGGCCTTCACACAACAGTGGAAACAAGAGCCAGCACGAAAGACGAAAAGAAAGAAGAATTGAAGAGGTCTGGACGAGAGCTTAAGACGAGTGAACGGGGCTTACTGCACGCAGCTGCCGGGCGTGCGCCACCTGCTGTGCGTGTGCCTGCACTGCACGCCGCCTGCTGGGCGTGTGCCTGCACTGCACGACAACTCGGTTATCTTACTGGTGTCGTCTTCCGTGGTCCGGATAAGTGCAAAATCCGGCAAGCCCGGGATTTTTGTTACTATAACTAAACATTTTAAAAATTAGGGTTCATGAGTTTTCAAGAGTTTTAGGACTGAAGGCGTGTGGATACTCACGGACGCAGCACTGACAGTTTTTTCCTCCAGGGCACATGTTCAGCATGTTTATGCCGTGGCATTTGTAATTATTGTACTGACACGACCCACCAACCTTCTTACACCGTTCATCTGCTTGGCACCCTGTTTGCACCCAGCAACAGTAGACATATTAAAGTAGAATGCCTTTCAATCCTCCATGCTAATAAACATAACTTTACTTTGTAAACAATCTGTTTGGCACCGATGCAAGAAAAGAACAACATTAGATGTTTGCCAGTGGACACGTAATACCAAAGTATAAGTCCCCAATCCATGCCTTTCATTGAATAGAATGGTGTTGTGAACTTCTAGAATGCAGGCGACTTCCATTTTCCAAATTGTTTACAATTCTACCTCCATTTTCGTCGATACTGCATAATCAACTCAAAATTTATTGAAACAGGAGTTCAATCGACAACTGGAGATTGTAAAGTTGTGGCTTGGCTCTCCAACACACTGGTGTGCTGTACTAGTGACGAATTGGCATGTTCTGGCTATTTGACAACCCTTACTAATTGGCTGTGTCGGGTGGTGGCGTGTTTAACGACACATTTATATATTTATGCGATGTAACTAAAAAAACATGTATTATGGAAAGATAGCATTTTTTAAAGCAAAAAAATTGCTTTATTCGTAACACGCTTTATTTTTAGAACACTGTACTATTTTTTTTAAAACGTATAAAAATGGCTTATTGGAAACGCCTTTTAGCCTCCGGGCTATGTAACAAATAAACCCGAGGCAGACGTTCCAAGATGCGTTCTTTGCTGGTGTGAAACCCAAGTCATTGTCATCATCATCAGCTACGCTCAATCTACTCCGGGATTGCCTGCTGAAGCCTATCACGTAGCTTCTGTCTGAACACAAGCTGATTTCATCGTTACATCCCTTTGGTGAAATCGTCCCTGGCGTGTTCCCTCCTCTGAATGTCGCTTCATCATTAAATCAGTTCATGGGCAATTGCTGGGTGGATTGTCACATCAAAAGCATCCTGAGAGTTGGCGGTGGCTTGTGGAGGCCTTCGTCCAGCAGTGAATGGACCATGGCTGATGATGATAGCTATTCTGGTTAATTATTTGTCTGAAGTGGTGACAACCATTTATGTGCTCTTCCAGCTATTTGAATTTGTTAACTAGAATTAATCTAAAATCAGTTACCTGCTCATATGATTTTGAACGTTGACTTTCTTGGTTTTACCTACAATTGGCTTAACCCTCTGCTTTGGCTACATTGAAGAGTAACTTGCATCGCACCGGTTCGGGTTTTACTTTAAATAAATAAGTCAATCCCGTCAGAAGTAATACAATACAATGTGATCTTTCTATCACTTTAAACATTTACTTCTATCGAATGTTTACACAAATGAAGTTGCATTATACTGCCGTTGGTTTGCCCAGTGGAAGAGAATGCATTCGTAACTTATAATTTGTGCTATATATGTACCGCGAAGTGTGTGGACTACAGAGTGATTGTTTCAATGTATCTTCCCACATGCATTAGTTGTGTCTAATGCACGAATTCAGACTTGCGGATACTTACGTAGGCAACACTGACAATGTCCTGGTTCAGGGCACATTTTCGGTCTATATTTGCCATTGCATTTCAAATTAGGGTTCCAAATGTCCTGACACTTTTCACCAAGGGACTGGCAAAAGTCACCCTGTTTGCATTGAGTAATCACTGTAAAATGAGAATATTAAAACAGAATAACATTAAATACTGCATGCTAGCAAACATGATTATATCGTGCGGTATATTTAATTTTGGTGTAAAAGATGGAACACTGAAATAATTTTACTAGCAACAGACACATCTTATCTCAAGCCACACTTTTTCTTAAATTCCTTAACCCACGTTATGGCTTTCATTGTAAAGAATGTAGTTGCTTAATTCTATCATGCATACCACTTACGAATTCCCAATCGAAATGACTGAATGTTAAGTTTCCAACAGAAAATGTGACGTGTACATTTTTATTTAATTTCATACTGTCTATCCTAAGTAGGGACACGATACCCAGTTGGCCTTCCGAATCAATTTGTCCCAATTACCATTTGTTTGAACAAGCCAAATTACTGGACCAGTTTCGACATCACCAAATCTCAGCAGCCTGTTAAATCTCTGCTGCCCTTTTGTCAAATGTCATAATTGGATGGACGACTTTCAGTGGCAAATACGTATAAGAAATTTGTATGCAATGCAATATAATGTAGTGGAATAATGTTATTTTAATAACTGTTGACAGACCAATGATTCTTAAACTATGACCCTGTAAAAATCATAAATCTCAACACTTGTCAACATTTGCATACATTTTCAATTAAAATATGCATAAAATTACTGCGTATACGGTATGTCATGATTTAAATTGAGATAATGCAGAACTCCTCTCATTTGCTGTAATGTGGAGGGATGGACATCGCAGATCCTATTATCCGAGCTATCCGTGGATTTTCCCCACTTTTCCATGAAACATTTGCAAATACATGCAAATAGGATGCATACCTGTCAACGCATACGGTTTACCCGTATTCTTGTACAGGGAAATTGAGTTTTCAGGTTCATACGGCATACTGCCGCTTCAATACGGGCAAAAAAAGTCTATTTGTGTTTCTCCCTTGTGATGGGACTATGTAAGATGAACGTTGATATTTATAAGGGCACGGGGTGACCAATAATGTCTAAATTGGTCTGTAATAAGGTAGGCACTGATAAGGGGTTGACAGGTATATAGGATGATATTCTTTGCTTCTTTTGGTAAAGGCACGTAGATAGAAAACAATAAAAATCTAGTTTATTGTTTTTCGTGAAAAAGTTTTTTCGGTTAAATTCACGGATAAGAGTCATGACAAATTCCCCGAAGTGAACGCTGGGTAAATGAGTCGGTGAAGGCCCACTCGTAACTTGAAAACAATATGACTACTTTTGCAAATAAAACCCGAAACGAAAATGGATTCCAGTGGCTACTGAAGCGCCACGTTGCTTTGCCAATGTGTTGAAGTGGTATTGACCTCTAAATGGAGGTTTTGAACAGCAATGGGAATGTTGTGTTGCACAGGATGTGCGATGCATGTGCAGTCCGTGTGTGCCCATTGGTGGCATCATGCATAGCGCACGCACAGTGACGATGGCAACGGCGTGTGACCTGCACGTGTGATGCGTACACTTTGCATATGCACAGCTCCCTGGTCATAGATGTTATTGGTGCACATGTTATCAATAGATGAAGGATTAAATGCCAATATATTAGAATTCGAACAAACACTTGCAAGGTTTTTTATTCATGAATGGGCACTGTATCGATTCAGTGAACGTAGATTTTTCGTGCCATGTATGGAAAATCTCATCTATCCCACGAATATAAAAAAATATAATTTGCCACGCAACTCTGTCCACGAAAAAAATGCGAACAGGAAGCAGCTCTCCCAGTCGGGAAAGAAGAAAATGCAGATAATTGTGAACAATCAGGCAGACGAATGTAATACATACAGTACCATTGAGTCGTTTAAAAAATAAATGACTGTGCAGTGAAATCCAAGTCACTTACCATGGCCATAAGGCGGTAGTTGGAGGCTGTATCTGAGCGGATTTTCGTTTTCTGAGGGTAAATAAACACGAGGATTAGAGCATGCGGGTGACAGGCTTCCCATTGCACCAGTCTACCGTGGCGATGACATACTGTACCTCGCTAATCTCAAGGAGCATAAATCATCACGCCAAACTCCGGTCATCCTCGCAGCAGCGCCTTTTGGTCAACCATCGAACAAAGACGGTTACCGCATCGCGCGCTTTTAGATGTACGCGTCTGCGGCCGTCTGGAACGCTCTTTCTTCCGATATTACGAAGCTACTGGAGCTATGCACTTTTAAATCTAAAATGAAAACGAATTTCTTTAGAACTGCTATTTGTGTTGATTGCCTTTTCCCGCACCTCCAATTATCACGGTACGCTACGTACGGTGCGAAAGAAGTTCAACATATATACACTGTATTTTTATGTTTAATTAATTAAATATCCTCGAGTTGCCTTTCCAGCCTACCCCGAATTTTGCCTTTATTCAATACAATCTCGTACATAAAGCAGATTTTGTTTTAATTTAATGCATTAAAATACTTTGTATAACTTTTATTTCATGCACTCCTCAATATGTTAACTTTAGACCAAACTGCCAGCTACTCATTTCACAAAGTGTTATGTTTAAGAGATGTGAAAGGGAATCCACACGAGGCGATCTTCGGGTAAGGACTTGATTGAAGTTCCTCAAACTACAACACTTAGGCACTGACAGGAACCCTTCTCTTCGAGAGCCCCGGGCACGCGTCCCATACCCCTTATATAGCCACTGCCCGCAGATCTCTCCAGAACTTTCCAGAAGGTCCATTTAACGCAGTGGTTCTTAACCTGGCGTGCACGCACCCCCAAGGTGCGAGATGCCCCTTCTGAGAACCAAAGGGGTGCAGGATGGCGTCAAGGTTAAGAGCCACTGCTCTAACTCCTCCTCCTCCTTGCTTCCTTGCTGCCAAAATCTCACTCCTTCAACTCCTCAGTCAATCCCCTGCCGCCTCCTTCCCGGCTGAATTTCCAACTCCTTTATTTATCAATTCAGGGTCTGTGTCTCCATATCCTCACCCTAACCTCAATGTGTCCCAACACCACCCTTACACATTGAATGTAGATTTGCAGATACTCACCGAGACAGCACTGCCGGTTGATTGGTCCACCGCATTTACCCAACTCGTACTTGCCATTGCACGTCTCATTATTGTACTGACACACTCCCTCTTCGCTCTCACACTGAACGTCTTCCTCGTACTGAGCCACAGCCAAGCCTGGAATGCACAGCGTGAGCGCGTGTTAGTGATGAATGGCGACACCTAGAAGAAAAGTCTATCCTGGGGCGTCTTGTACTTCTCATCAATTAATATTTTCAAAGATTGGTAATATTAGAAAGTATGGGTTTACATCTCTCATCCTGCAAATAGGCATTCAATTGTATAAAGCATATTATAGTCCTGGTGCAAAATAAACAAAACTTTGGTCACTTTTTGAGTGAAGAACACGTCTAATATCAAAGCATAAACGTTCTTCAAGCCATCAACCCATGTTTACCTCTCATTACAAATAATGTTGTTGGCAAATTCTATAATAGAAGTGACTTAACATTTCCCAATTTTATTCAAATTTTCCCCTCAGTGTAGGCCGTGCAGGATCATTTACTGAACGTGTCAAATTTGAGGTCCGTTTGAAAATGAGAGATATCCCAGGAGAGGCCGGAGGGTCTGTCTCCTTCACAATTACCAATTGACTTTAATGCTGTACGAATACAACCCTGTGGTGAGTGGTGCAGAAACTAACTGCCTTGATATTAGCAGTAAAAGCGTGCGTTATTAACATTTATAATCACTTGGTTACAGTACTCCCTTAGAACCCATCTCTTCCTACTGCTACTCCACACCAATGTCACCCAGCTACAACCAGGCCTACTCTATCACTACCCCACCCCCTTTAACTACCCCTACCCCTACCCAAACCCCTATCACTACCACTATCACTACCCCCATCCCCTATGACTACCTCAACCCCTACCCGAACCCCTGTCACTACCCCAACCCCTATCCCTACCTCAACCCCTATCACTACCCCTATCACTACCCCAACCTTTATCACTACCCCTATCACTACCCCAACCCCTATCACTACCCCAACCTCTATCACTACCCCAACCCCTATCACTACCCCAACCCCTATCACTACCCCTATCACTACCCCAACCCCTATCACTACCCCTATCACTACCCCAACTCCTATCACTACCCCAACCCCTATCACTACCCCTATCACTACCCCAACCCCTATCACTACCCCTACCCCTATCACTACCCCTATCACTACCCCAACCCCTATCACTACCCCAACCCCTATCACTACCCCAACCCCTATCACTACCCCTATCACTACCCCAACCCCTATCACTACCCCAACCCCTATCACTACCCCAACCCCTATCACTACCCCTATCACTACCCCTATCACTACCACCAACCCCTATCACTACCCCTATCACTACCCCAACCCCTATCACTACCCATATCACTACCCCAACCCCTATCACTACCCCTATCACTACCCCTATCACTACCACCAACCCCTATCACTACCCCTATCACTACCCCAACCCCTATCACTACCCCTATCACTACCACCAACCCCTATCACTACCCCTATCACTACCCCAACCCCTATCACTACCCCAACCCCTATCACTACCCCTATCACTACCACCAACCCCTATCACTACCCCTATCACTACCACCAACCCCTATCACTACCCCTATCACTACCCCAACCCCTATCACTACCCCAACCCCTATCACTACCCCATCACTACCACCAACCCCTATCACTACCCCTATCACTACCCCAACCCATATCACTACCCCAACCCCTATCACTACCCCTATCACTACCACCAACCCCTATCACTACCCCTATCACTACCCCAACCCCTCCTTGACCACTCCCGCTTGTTCTGCTGTCACCATGACTACACCACCACTTGTAATCACCCCGCTCTTTATTTCGACCACTATCATCTTTTGTACAATTTTACAATTGCTGTAAAGTGTCCTCAGAATAAGACGCTGTATAAATCTATATTCGATAAGCATATATGCTATATTAAAATGTTCAAAATGTTAGGTAACATGATTGACTATCACATTAACGAAACATCGACCTCTGGCTATTTCAAATCACTGCATTATTTTAGCATTTGTTTCAATATAGAGTACAGTAAAACAAATTTTAAGACAAACAAATTACAGTCAGCGAAATAACTGACGTTTGAAAAATGCTACTGTCGTACATATTTACTGAGATCAATTATATTTTAAACGGGTAATTAATTTGATTTGATTTTAAATGTTCTGCACATGTACATTTTATCAATGAGAAGATTTGTGGAAGTGCTTAGGATACTCCACGCTCATACAAACTACAGAACTACACTGCATTTCTGTCATCTTAAGATTTGCCAATTTACTTTATTACACATAAAAAAACAGAACCTACCAGGTCCCAAAAGGACAAGTAGAATGAGAATATTCATTGTCTTCCTGTTCTTCTCCCTTAACAAGACAGATGAAATGTTGTAGAGGCTTCAGAAGCACTGCCCTCTGCTTTCCTGCCTCTTACGCCTCGTATTATATAGCAACATTTATGCAAATTGTGCATTAGGCTTGAAGGTCACGATGCGTATTCAATGTTATTTTACAATAAGCTGACATTAAATATTACAGGATTAGCCGTCTCGTGTTAGTGATCACAGTCGCTGTATTTCGGGCCAGATTATATTTAAAACAACAGACTGGGTCTCGTCATTGTCCATATCAATATTGGAGGACCGAAAGCTAAATATTCTGATTCTCATTAATATCTTGACAAAACAACTGAATAACATATTTCAAAAGACTTGACCCATTGTGGGTAATGGAGCCAATTGCGGCTAATTGATGCATTAGGTGACACGTCTGCTTCGGTTCAGTATTAATATTATTGGCCATTTTTAGACGGATGCCGTGGCTTACCTTTTATTTAAGCTTTAGTGCCCACTATCTTTGAGCGTGTCATTGCACTTATCGTTGTCCAGCTCTTGATGTCGTGTGCAGCCTTCTTGTCAACGATTGATTAGGATAGACAAGTCTGGTTCTGAATGTTTAATTACGAAATACACGGCATTCTAAATTCCGCCTAATGGCGAGTCACCTTTCATTTAAAATTTGATCAGGTTTGTGATATGATTAAATAACTGATTGCTGTTTAGCCAATCAAACAAGATGCAATGATGCTTACACTGCAAGTGCAAAGCATTATACCCAACGGAATGAAAATAACCATTCATGGGTAGAAATCCTAAATTTGTATCAATGTGATACATCAGAAACCAATCCATCTACATTTTTGGGGCTTTAAAATGTTAGCATTTGTATCTCGGTTTAAACCATTTAGATTGATGTACATCGAACAATGTAGTGCATCAGAGGCAGGTTTGTTAAAGTCTTGAATTATAAACATTAAAATTCCATTCACAATATGCTGACATTAAATACAGGCTTAGCTTTATATTTAGTTCGAGATTAATATGTTGACGAAACTTAAAAAAAAGTCACCCAAAAGACTTGACCCGTTGTAGATAATCGAGGCGATTGCAGCTAATTGATGCATTGATATACCTTTGGTCATGACTCACCGTTTATTTAAGCTTCAGTGCCCACATGGTTGTCATTTGTCATTACACTAATCGTTTTTCAGCTGTTGATGTCATGATATGTTGTTTGAGCGGCTGAAATAGATCTTCATCACTTATCTACACGTGCAGCCTCTTAGCCAATCGACGACTGGATGACAGCCTCCCCAACACCTGCGTACTTGACCATGCTTTACCGCACTGATCATTGCGGGTCGGTGAAGGCAGGCAGCATAGAAGTGCGGTATAGCAACCCGACTTTGCTGCAATGCTCTTTATCGGCCAATCAATAGCTCCGCCAAGGCCCGGCAGCCTGTTTTGTGCATGGTGCTCACCCATCCGAGCACTATCCAGACTCAACACTGCTTAGCTTCGCAGGTGAATAACCAACACAGTTGCCCGCATTAACCGCAGGAGGTGAACACGCAACATCCTCGCCCTTTGTTAAGTCCACGTTTCTGAGCCATGTCACAGCAGGTCATGGGCACTGATTGAAAACTTTGTTCTTTAGACACATTTTTAGTGTGTTGGCTTTCATAATGAAATTCGGTTTTCCAAAAGCACTCTAACATGCTCTCACTTGACTGCAGTATTCCGTCGTTATTCACGAACTTGCTTTCCCGCCACTTTGGCAATCCGCGAATTGCATCTGTAACGCTACACGACTTTACATCGAGAGAGAGAAAATGATGAGATAAAGTGATGAGAGAGAATGTGATGCGGGGAAGCTATGGGATAAAGTGATGGGATAAGGTGATGAGAGATAAAGTGACGCGGTAAAGAGATGAGCATGATCGAGAAATTCTGGAAGCTTTAAAATGATCTGTTGACGTTGTGTGTACGACATTCGTCGGCCAATATTATGAAATGCGAAATGTGATATTCACGACCATCTCCGGAACGTATCCCTCGCGAATATCGAGGGAATACTGTATTTAATTATTTTGATACCAACCCAGATTTCTATAATTGTCCTGAATGTAATACTCTCACGTGTTATCCAGTTGTGTCCCTTTGATAACTTCTCGTGTTTACTGGACTTGTCGTAACTCAGCTTTGTTTTGCTCATATTTTTATCTAGGGCCCAACTTTGAATTTCTCCATACTGTGCTAAGTTCTTCAATGATATTCTGGAATTCTTGTTCATTGGCTGCTATAATGACCGTATCATCAGCAAAATTCTGAGTTGGCGAGTATTTTCACCATTTATATTCATGGCTTTATACTTACAATCTTACTTTCGATAAAAACGTATGGTAATGTTTCTGTGAATAAACTTTGGCAAGAACGATTCTCCTTGCCTGCGTCGTGATATGTATTTTTTAAAATGCAATTTAAAATGTGTATGACTCATGTTTATAAATATTCTTTATCTTCTTGGTTCTTTCGGTAAAGTCACGTAGAAGGGAAGTAATAAAATAATAAAAATAAAACATAATAAAATAAAATAATTCTCACGACGTTTCGGCTACAATGCAAGCAGCCGTCTTCAGGTGAAGAATGAGACACTGCCAAGCTAGGAACCTATATATATAAGCTGGGTTGGAGGTGGAAGAGCGCCTTAACAAAAAGAATGTGCAAATCAAGAGGAATTTAGCATATTCATGGGAAATGCGTAGGAGGTGGGCGGGGGGGTTTCAAAGTCCTATTATGCCCATGCATTATGCAGGATAAGCAGCACCAAGGGAGGGTGCAGGGAGTAGCATTAACAAAGGAAAGGAATGTTAGTATGTAGCTGCAGTTACTAAACAACCACGTAGAAAACTAAAGTATAAACTACATAAAAAACTAAAGTATAAACTGCATAGCACCATCAGTATACTTACTATACTCTACAATAAGCTGAGTTACTAACAACAAGTAATACATTACAATTCTACGTCGTAAAAATTGTATAATATGCTTACATCTAAACTTTATTCTCTTACATCACACGAGCATACACCGTACTATATACTGCCATAGATAAACCCAACATTAAATTATATACTGTATTGCTTTAAACCATACATTTTAATATAACACTATGTATTATTCTACCCACCCTAATGTGTATCACACTGCTATATGTTTACTATACAATTACGATACTATATATTACTTTTTACATTGTATTAAGCATATAAATGTTATACTATTTGTTATTATACACTGTACCATTGACCGTCGTGTCAATGGGTGAGTCGCGGGGGGAAAACTTGCAGCGGAGCAAAGAATCCATTCTCTGCGGAGAATACAATGCCAGTGAGTGGAACGCGGTCTGAAAGTCACCGTAAACGTGAACACAATCAGTTAAGATCCGAAATGGTTTATTACGTCCTTCCAATGATTGCTAAGCCAGAATCCATCTTCTCGGTTAAAATTGTCTCTGTGTTTGTATATGTGGATCGCCTCATGAACGAATCTCTCATGATAGCCAGATGGCATGCAGAGAACCTCTGTCTTGGAGAAGTCAATGTCATGTGAGCCCACTGAGTTGTAACAGTGATCTGCCACGACTCACCCATTGACACGACGGTCAATGGTACAGTGTATAATAACAAATAGTATAACATTTATATGCTTAATACAATTGTTGAGTAGTAGACGGAAGTACTCGGAGACGGAGGTGAGTTAGGGGCTTCCGCCAGGGTTTATTAACACGTATCACTATCCCTGGTTCCCTCTTACCCCTTCCACTATCCCCGTTCCTCCAGTGACCCCGCTTACGTCACGGGGTCTCCCTTAAATACCCGAGGAGGGGTGACGTCACGTGCACTGCCCAGCGCGTGCGACCCCACGTCCCGTGAGGTCACCGCACCGGACAGCGCACACGACGCCACCACTCCCCTCTACTCCTCTACACAATGTACAAAGTAATATATAGTATCGTAATTGTATAGTAAACATATAACACATTAGGGTGGGTAGAATAATACATAGTGTTATATTAAAATGTATAAGGTGGTTTATAGCAATACAGTATATAATTTAATGTTGGGTTTATCTATGGCAGTATATAGTACGGTGTATGCTCATGTGATGTAAGAGAATAAAGTTTAGATGGAAGCATATTATATGTTTACGACGTAGAATTGTAATGTATTACTTGCTGTTAGTAACTCAGCTTATTGTAGAGTACAGTATAGTAAGTATACTGATGGTGCTATGCAGTTTATACTTTAGTTTTTTATGTAGTTTATACTTTAGTTTTCTACGTGGTTGTTTAGTAACTGCAGCTACATACTATTAACATTCCTTACCTTTGTTAATGCTACTCCCTGCACCCTCCCTTGGTGCTGCTTATCCTGCATAATACATGGGCATAATATGACTTTGAAACCCCCCCGCCCACCTCCTACGCATTTCCATGAATATGCTAAATTCCTATTGATATGCACATTCTTTTTGTTAAGGCGCTCTTCCACCTCCAACCCAGCTTATATATATAGGCTCCTAGCTTGGCAGTGTCTCATTCTTCACCTGAAGACGGCTGCTTGCATTGTAGCCGAAACGTCGTGAGAATTAATTAATTTTATTATGTTTTAATTTTTATTATTTTATTACTTCCGTAATTGGCAGCAGCCAGCAGCTGAAACAACTTAAGGCTGGCAATTTCAGTTCCCATTGTGCCCCCAGAAATGTTTTGTTAAACTTACGCTAACACATTCCTGCGGAGGGAGCTGGTAGGAACGTTGGGTTGCTCAGTCAATGGGCAGGGTCAACGGCGGCGTGGTGTATTCCGCAAATATGCCCGACTGTGAGGGCGGGCACAAGCCGGCGTGAGTAGGTTAAACGTTGAGTTTTATAAGGGCACCACGGGGGGACCAGCCCCTCTCCACCCAGCCCCACCCCTCCCACCCCCCACCCAGTCTCACCCTCCCCACCCAGCCCCTGCCCACCCTCCCCACCCAGCCCCTCCCCACCTTCCCCACCCAGCCCCACCCTCCCCACCCAGCCCCTCCCCACCCTCCCCTCCCCACCCAGCCCCTCTCTCCCCACCCAGCCCTCCCTGCATGACGGACGGACACAATAATCCCCTGTGAGCTGGTGTAACCAGGAGGTTCCTACCAGTATTATGTCCTTAACTGATGCCAAACGTAGCAATGCCAGTCAAATATGTTTTATTGTGTAATGTTTACAGGTACAGATTTGCGAATCACAATCATTCAGAGAGGGGTAAACATTGGAATCATCGTGTAATGCACATGAGAATACAATCAACTTATATCGGTAAAACAATATTGTAGGTTTAAATTTATTCATATTTTAAACTGTGTTTGAGAATGTTCTTCTACATTTTGCATCAGGTCTTGGAGGGACTTGACAGAATGATAAAAACGCGCAGGTTGTTCGTTGCATTGTGACTTGACAAATCAAAGTCTCTTTCATTTCACCGTAACAGTGCGGCATAGAGTAACTTTGTGCTGCGGGCACCTTAACACAGAACAAGACGCGTTTCCGTCCTGCAACCCGCACGCCACTAGAGCCTCACGTGGTGTTCATAATGACCGTGGCTGGACATGGGAAGCCTTTACTCAATGTTGCCCCAACAGGTTCTCATGTGACCTCCATACCGTTCTTTCTTCAGCAACGCTTCATGATTCTGCCCATCTTAGAGTGAGGTTCAGCCAAATTGGACACAAAAACTACATCTTTAAAATGTATTTTATTGTTCATTGGTGATCGTGTTTAGGAAACAAAATGCGCTGCTGATGAGAATCTTCTAAAATCTCAATTGGAGCCCAGGATTTGAGTGCTGTTGATTCATCGATTTGAAATGGACATGTCATTAGGGCCTCTCAGCATTCGAGTTCTATGTTAAAGATTCTTGTACGACATTTCGTTCTAGCATGGGACTCGCGTGAACAGATCTCTGCGGCGCTGGCAGCGTGCTAATTATTGGGGCTGGCAAATGGAACAGCGGGCAAAAGTTCGGCACCGCGGGGACCGAGCGCCTGCTCACAGAAACGGCGTGGGGTCACTTTTGTCGCACATCTGGACGTGCACGTGAGACGTGATCCCGGGGTAAACAGACTGCATGTTTAGCAGGTAGCCAATGCGCTGGCCTTTGGTGACGGAGCCCGTGTAGCTGTCGGGACGGAGGTAGAACATCATGATGCAGTAACCTGGACACAAACACAACCACGGGGATAATGACAACGGTGCATTTGATCAACGCGTGACCAATGTGGTAATAATACCATCACGCGTTTTTGCTCAATTGATCGAAGAACCGTTCCACACATTCTTTAGACAAAAAATCACACCACAGTTCAACACGTAGGCTTTCGCGACCAATATTATTCATCATCAAGGTTTTTAGGTTAGATCGCGCAAGTATAAATGTGTCGTAACCCTCCACCACCCGACACAGCCAATTAGTAAGGGATTTGTCACGTAAACTAATTTACTTTTTTTTACGTGACAAATCCCTTCCTAATTGGCTGTGTCGGCTGGTAGAGGGTTACGACACATTTATACTTACATGATCTAACCCACAAACCTCTATTATGAATCACACCACACTTGGAAAATCATTCAGCATGCAACCACAAACTATACATCCTCTTCTCATGGCCATCCTGATGTATACAATTCATTCCGGCAGAGCTGATCTTGAGGCCTGAATAGAAACTAAACAAAGAAGGGAATAATGAAAGTGGCATTGATGTTTCGTTTGTTATCACAGTTATTGAGCACGGGCCCAAATCCCCCCACCCCCACCCCAAAAAAATGCCAAGCAGCTGGCAACAAATCTTGCAGTAGTTAAAGAGTTAACGCGTTTCTTAGGTTGAAAAGGGGTTTTCATAAACTTGGCGAAAGAGCCGATGGGAGGGAATGACGAAGACTAGCAGTGCAGTGTGGTGGTTGGAACACACCGTGGATAAGACGACCACAGCCGGTGTCTGGTAGACCAAGATCTCAGCATGGGTGGAGAAATCAATGACCAAGTTCACAGGAACAGTAGCCATGGTAAGTAGCGATAGAAGAGTGATGATTTATGGATGTTGAACTTCTTTTGTATCGTACATAGCGAACCGTGCTGATCGGAGGTGCGGGGGAAGGACAACAAACTACACACAAAAAGCAGTTCTAAAGAAATTAGTTTTTATCTAGATGATTTAAAAGTGCATAATAGCTCCAGTGGATTCCTCATATCAGAAAGAGCGTCCCAGACGGCCGCAGAAGCGCATCTGAAAGTGCGCGATGCGGTGACCGCCTTTGTTCAATGGCGAGCCAAACGCCACTGCCGCTGCTGCGAGGATGACCAGAGTTCGCTTGGTGACGGTTTATTGTCCTGGGCGACATCGGCAAGCCATTGGTGGTTCATTTGTCGTCAGCCACTTTGTGTTTAACGAGTGCGACCCGGTGATGTATAAGGAGGTGACTGGGGGATTCGGTGAGCACTCGATCATCGGTCGACCTGCCTTCTCTTCGTTGTAGAGTGGGGTAGTAGCTGAGGGCCCCACCCCAGATATGACAAGATTCCAGCTTGGGCGGAATGTGTGATTTTGACGATACTGTCGTAATTATTATTGATCAGCGTTACTGAAGGCCCTGACACAAGTGTCCGTGTATGTAATCAGCATTGTGTCTGCAAGTCTGTGTTTGTGTATACGTCTGCTTGCCCGCGTGTGTGTTGGTGTCTTTGTCTTGCGCAGTCTGCATGCGTCATCTATGTGTGTGTGTGACTGTCTGTGGTGTCTGCGTCTCTGTGCGAGAGATATTTGGGGGATACATCGTCTTTGGGGGTTCTTCAGCTCTGAAACGTCGCTGATATTTTATGATTTTTCATATTAAGTTAAAACGATTGAACACTTTTTTTTTAAATAACGAATAATGACGTACAAATTTGCTTTCGCACTCAAATTTGCTTAGAGTAACATAAAGCGTACTGAATAGGAGTAAACAATTATTGCCAGTGACAGATACATTTATGATTACAATATTTTTTGTAAAGAAAAGAAGTACAAAATCTTTAAATAATATTTTACTCCTCGCATTGTGTGAACTATCACAGCAAATACAAATATCCCCTGTATAGCCTTAACAGACTGTATGGGCAAGTGCTGTTTGCGAGCACCTATGAAGGCCAGCATGGTACACGAGGGGGTGGATGGCCAGCACCACGCCCGACCGCCCTTGTCTCCCCAGTAGCGATGTTTACACACCGCACCAAGTACTCATTTGAGGCTGAGTCGATCTAGAGGAGGCCCAGGACCGGTTCAGATAATCGTCACTGGTGTTGGCCGTGAGTGAGAATTGAACCTGGTAGGCCAGGTTCGTAGCGCAGCGTGCTAACCGCTCCATCACCACTCCCCACATCACAACAAGTTGACAAGAACAGACGCACGGTGTTCCAGCAGCCACTGCAAAGGCACTGTGACCCAGGCTTGTACACAATTCACACCCCTCCCCCTGGAGATGAGGAATTGTCGAGATTCCCCGGTCCCAATTTAATTACGCAATCAATTGTTTTTCTCTCTCTCTCATTTTTGTACTCCATTGTTTGAATCATCCCATTTGTATACATTTATGTACAGGACTTCATACACACTCCTATGCGATTGGAGCTTTGACGGCAGGTCCTCAATAACACTGAAAACATTTGCCACGTGTGGTGTGAATAAACTTTCACCGCACCCCCCCCCCCCATTTATTAATTAATTTCCCCCCCTACCCCCACAATGGCAAATGCCACCGACTTAGGCCGCCAATCAACCGAAATTGGAAGCAATGAAGGTGTGAGTGACGAGTTACCGGAGCCAGAGAGCTTCACTCCATCATCGATGGCACTACCATCCCCGTACGGCTTGGCCTGGCCTTGCAGGGTCCCCGTGAAGGGAGAGTAAACCACCGAGCCGTCATTGCAGACCACGTCCGCTCCCATGTGCTGACGGTCGCCCCTGCGTCGGGTTCAAACAGCGTTGAGAGGGTTAACACAGCGGTGTGCGTGACCTGAGTAATGTCGGCGCAACCAAGGCCGTCCATAGGGCATACCTGTCAACCCCTTACCAGTGCCCTACCTTATTACAGACCAATTCAGACCTTATTGGTCACCCCGTGCCTTTATAGATCTCAACGTTGATCCTACTGAGTCCCGTCACAAGGGAGAAACACAAACAATTAGGACAAAAATTTGCCCGTATTGAAACGGCTGCACACCGTATGGACCTGAAAACTCAATTTGCCTGTACAAGAATACGGGGTAAACCGTATGGGTCGACAGCTATGATAGGGGGGGGGGGGGGGGGCACGGTGTATATCACAGCGCGTGGGCCCCCCCAACGCCTTCAAACTAAACTGGAAGTATTACAGCTGACACCCAACCCCCCAAGGCGCGGGGCCCAGGGCAATCGCCCAGCTTCACCGTGACTATAGGGACGGCTTTGGGTGCAACCAAAGGAAACTTGTGTTTTTGACCGAAATCGTAAACCATGGCTCTGGATAAAAGTAAAGTAATTCGGGTTAAACGGTGATACATTCTCTTTTTTATGCTTCGTGGTGGCGTAAATATATTTTTCGATTTGCAAACGAACGACTCTCGTCAGTTCAAACCGAGTTGGGGGTCGACGCAGCTCATTGTCCCCTGTGAGGTCGATATAATGAGCACTGCACTGCTGCCTGGGAAGTGAATCGTGGTCATCACGCGGAGAGGCCAGCAGCCAATGAAATTAGTTTGATTACTTTTGCTGCTGGAAATTTCCACGTAATAAGTCACTTTGATAAGCTATCACCTGTGGCCAGGTGGCTTCTGAAAAATAAGTTAATACTTGAGTGGGCTCTGCCTGGTAGGATGGAGAATGGTTAGTTTTATTTGTATGTGTTTTGGGTTTTATGGTTACCTTGCTTGTACTTTGCACTCCTATCGTGTTTTTTGTACTGACGTTATTGGATTTCTCCAGTATAAATAAATATTCTGATTCTGAATGTGGAATTAGCACCAGTGGTTCAAAGCCATCGACAGCTACGGAGCGCTACACCCGCATTGTTTGAGCGTGGAGGCAGTTTGTTCATCGTAAAATAGCGGAAAGTTTTGGAATTTTGCTCTTGTCGAATGTCGGAGTGTTTTTGGATTCTTTAAGTTTCACTACGTTTGAAATCACGAATGTTTGTACAAATTTTCAGAGTGTTTGCAGTTTTTTTTCATCTTCTTCAAAATGTATATTTATACCGGATATTATTGTAGTTTCATATGTGAGATGTAGGTCAAAGCTAAAAAAAACAATGACTCTTGCATTAATCCTTTTGTCTATAATATCATAAATAAGCATTTGCAAACGTGCCCTTTCATTGCAAACACAGCTGCAGGAAGAAAACATCTCTTATTTGCCTAGCTAAGCTAATAATGCCATTGTAATTTTATAAATACACCAGATCAATGGAAACGGACTTTTCTTGAGCACAAAACTAAGTCTACTTTGATACATCACTTTACCGTAATCCACAACAGTTCGGTGAACCAGTAAGTTGCAACTTCATCCAAATTTAGTTTTGATTGCGAACTGTTTAAAAAGTTAAAATAAACACAAGACTCAATTTCTTAAAGGTATCTTCACCTATGTTGCAAAACATGCCGTGACAATCCAGCGCTGTGTTTTTTTGTTTCCTGGTCAAGTATCACAGCACCGTAGCTGAATAATAATAATCATCAGCATCATAATAATAACCTCGATTTTATAAAGCGCCTTTCATATTGAAGTGTATCTCAAAGCGCAGAATCAGGCTACGATTTCGGCGAATGAACGGACGCAGGCAGGGTTCCTTACCTCGGGGCGCCATAGTGGCCGCATCCTTTACTGTCGCAGCCTCTCACCCTGTTGGACGACTGACCGGCGCAGATCGTGGCCCAGTTGCCGCTGCTCTCTGCCAACAAAAGAGTGGTCGCTTTAGCGTTTACGGGCAGTGGTTCTTCACCTTTACTTACACCCCTTTGGGTCCTCAATCGTAAGAAAACAATGTTTAATGGACATAAATACGTAGGATTTGATTAGACAAAGTAGTTGTTGTACTTACGTTCCCGTGCTTGATTTGTGTTGCGATGATTTATCCCTCTAACAAATATCTGGCCACGTCTCGCACCCCGAGAGAGGGCATCTCACACCCCCAGGGGGTGCGTGGACCGCAGGTTAAGAACCACGGGTTTACGGCAATGCCTATAGTCAACAACAGATGGCCTTGTCCCCCCCCCACCCGCCCCACAAAACTAACTTGAGCTTATGACTTGAATGTTTTTGAGTCTTTTGTGCCATTAGTTGAGATGATTATGGGTTTCATGCAGTCGTAAAACACAGATGTTAGTTTTTTATAGCATATAAGGCACTGACCAAAAAGCACACGTTGATTTATTAATAGGTGGCGTGCCACCCTTGATCATATCTTAGAGTATTAACGTACAATTGTTCCGTTTTAAAATGTTTACATTACGCGGCCATTTGAGAGCAATCCAGCATTTAATACAGGCTGCAAAAAACTCACCACCGTTGTCATGTGTAGCATCATATATCCGATGTAACAACCACCGTGTGATGACAGTGATTGGGTATTTTTTGGTACAGGATGTGCTTGCACATTCTTATCAATGCAGCCCCTTAGGTTTTAACCAGAATTCAGCATGGGCTTCGATCAAGGGTGTGCGCATTAATTGCACAGTGGCGTGATTTTAAGGGGGCGTATTTACCTCTTTAGCAGCAAAACAGCACGGCACATATGATAGAGTACTCACGCAAACTCCTCGTACAATTTGATGAGAGGATGGGCTATGGGCGCATGCAGTTATTTGTGTTTATTCACACATTGTATTCCTTTTTCCCAAGCATTAAGATGAATTTGCCACTAATTCTGGACCACTCCCTCTAATCTGAACAAAAACTCCGATAAGAGGAAGATGTAATCGCTTTCAGGAGACCACATCCAAGCACCTTGCTTGCGCAAATGCTCGTGCAACAGAAATAATACAGTGCACGGGAAGGTGTCCTGTAGTGCACGCACAATAGGATGAGAAGTGTTTCTGTATATATGGGAAGGGATTTGAATCCTTTAACGGCAATCACTTTGTATCCTGCCATATGTTTACAGCAGCGTGAGGCTGCTCCAGTATTTGTGATGAAAACTAGTCTAATTGTACTGCATTTAAATCATGGCCTGAGTGAAATGTAAAATAAACACACCAAACACATTTGCAATTCATGGAGTATATGTCACATAATTGGGTGCCTCCGTTTAGAACGCACGTGTCAGCAAGGTGAAACATTAATGTCGTTGAAACCACGCCAGAAACAAAAGCAGTTTTTAAATCCTTTATATTAAGTTCGCTTGCTTGCTTGCGTGCTTGCTTGCTTGCTTACGACCGTGCAAATCTTTCGGTCGTTTTTTAACCCACTTCCCGTGATCCAATCGAGCTGACATTTTGCACACAGACTCGTTGTGCGAGACAATTAATGTTCGTGAAAACATTTTTCCAAAATTTTACACTGTTTAGGGAAAACAAATTAAATATTTAATTACCAATTGCTTAATACTGGCAGACAATCATCTGACCCATAGGTGGCAGCCATCTCAAGCCAGAGGACGAGAGGACTCTAGCCGCCACGCATATAAAGGATTTATAGTGAAAAACTTTGTTTTTACTGGTTATACTTATTACAAATATCACCACGGCTCTTTACCCGGGTCAGCCTCAAATCACTCTGAAGACTCACACGGGGCTCAGCTGTAAATGTCTGGCGATCTTACTCGCTTCATAATAGAGGGGTTTTTTCGTGTTCGGTCGCGTAAATATAAATGTGTCGTTATACCCGCCACCGCCCGACACAGCCAATGAGTAAGTTTTGCCACGTTAACAAAACGTGCCAGTTCGTTACTCGTTCAGCACACCTGTGTGTTGGAGAGTCAACCCACGAAAGCCTAATTGCGAGGCTTACTCGCCGCTCTCCTGCACATATACCGAAGGTAATCGTCCCACTTGCTCCAACGCCCCGTCCGTCGGGTTCACCTCGTGACCGTGAGGATGCCTAGGGGGGGGGGGTTGCTCGGTGAGCGGTCACTCACTGAGGCAGCACTGCCGGTTGGAGGGGCCCCCGCACTTGCCGCTGGCGTAGTAGCCAGCGCAGTAGTTGCTGTTGATCTGGCACGTGCCACCACTGCCCGTGCAGCCACCGTCGCTCTGCGACCAGCTCTGCTCGTTGGAAAGACCTGCAGGCGTAACGTGCGGGTACATCAGTGCCGGATGAAGATAGTGCGGGGCCTGTAGCATATGTTATAAAGGGGCCCTAAATATAGAAAAATATTTTACTTTTTTTTTTACTTGCATAGTGAAGTCATTGTATTTTTTTTATTTGCTGTACAGCCGGATAATACGACAAATCGCTAACCTTAAACACCAGTCGTTCATAAAAGTTGAAGGCGGTATAGTACTATAGTAATAGAGCAAGTGCAGAATCACTGAACCGGAATTAAAAGCTTGAAAATATTTAGCGCGGGGCCCTTGAAAGTGCGGGGCCCATAGCATATGTAGCTACTTGTGCTACTAGGATAAATCCGGCACTGCGGTACACGCAAATTCATGCTGTTTAGTTCCATTTGGGACTCGCAATACAGCGTGTTATTAGGGGGGGGGGGAGGATTTGTACGTTAGTGTGCGGAGGTTAATGGTGATGCACGATCTGTACCGTGTCCTTATTCGCCTCTGAGTAATAGCGAAGGGAGGCTGGGCATCAGCAAATCCGTGACCTTTTCATGGCACAGAGGGCTGGGAGTTGAACCGTTGGCTTGTCTCATCGGTTCGGGTTAAACCGAAACCGGGGAAATAACGGTTACAGTGCAATTGGTTCCCGATAAGTTTTTAGGGTTCAGTTCTAGTTAACAATTGTTTTGGTTTTTTTACCGGTTAAACTTACACAATCCGGTGAACATGTAACAAATACAAATGGACGTATTGGCGGTACACCGGTGCAGCTTAACACACCGGTCCTCATAAACCAGTCTCAAATCAAAATGTGTAACTGACATTCGTCTTTCGACTGCTTTGATATCACGAGGACTGATTTTGACTCGCCACCCCGCAAGGTTGTATGACCTGGGGTTGCGAATCGCGAGAAAAAAAAAAATCATGGCCTTAAAATTGTATTTTCATTTTTTCCCCGCGGCACCACCGATGTACCGCCAATACGCTCACTTGTTAATTCTGGTCAACGGTTATGGCATTTGTATTTTTTGTATTATGTTAAGGGCCGTCCATAAATGACGTCACGCACCTAGGAGGGGGGGTGGTCAGACATTTGTGACGATGTGTGACGATGGGGGGGGGGGGCTGAGAAATTGACGTCACATCAAAATGCGCAACTTTAAATACATATAGACAACACGTTCTACTTAATTAAATATACTTTTTTTAAAATAAAGTGCAGCGCCACATTAAATACGTGCTACAATGACAATAGTTTAAAGCGATTTGAAGCATGTTTTAGTTTTATTTGGGGGGGAGGGCAGAGCTTTGTGACGTCATCTTTGAGGGGGGGGGTCTGACTTTTTGTTGACGCCGTGTGACGAAGGGGGGGGGGGTAAAAAAAATCGTCCAAAATCGCGTGACGTCATTTATGGACGGCCCCTTCGACTCGCTGAGTGTCCCCACGCGCGGGGACACTCACAGGTGGAGCTGCACGCCAGGCAGCAGCGGCGATTGGCGTCCCCGTTGCAGAGACCCGTGGCGACCCCAGCCGTGCACTTGTAGTTGCGCCAGTCCACGCACTGGCCCCCTTGGCTCGTGCAGCCGACGTCAGCCCCCACTAAAAGGGGGGGGGGGGGTACACACGGTCATCATCATCATGGCTTGGCTTCGCGAACGAAGATCTAGGAAGGACATCCACGTCTTCTGCAGGCACGCTGGTGGCTGAAGAGGCCTATGCGGGACAGGCAGGTCCTGCCACAACAGCTGCAAGTGAAGGTCTCATCTGGGATGGGTGCTGAGGGATCACGGTTCTTCCTCCTTCTCCTTTTGTCCTCCATACGGGCCCTGCGGGTATCTTCGAAGAAGGAGGTGGCCTGGTGGACTGTGTGCCGCCAGGAGTTGCGATCAGCTGCTTGTGTTGCCCACTGACGGTGATCGATGCAGCAAGCAGTGAGGGACTTCTTTAGGG